CATTTCCTAGAAGCAAAATGTAAAGTGACCAAGGGCATTTAGAAGGCAGCACATTAGGTTTCACCTTGCATACTTCTACTGGACTTGCTGACATGCAGTTAGCTGTCATGTTTTATATGCCACAGATGACAATTAATAACAAAAAGGAAAAGGGATGTTTGAGCAAAGAAATCACTTGGGTTCCCCACCCCTGCAACTCTAAAGAATTACTGATGAAGATGCTATATTAAATCCTTAAGACGTACACAGATATAAGTTCAGCCATACGGTATAATCAGTTCACCACCTAACAAGGTATTAACTGAAACATCTCAGCATCCTTCAGTATCATGTTTCTGGGCTACAACAGAATTCCACCTACTCAGTGTTCTGGAGCTAAATTCTCAGTGACATAACAGAAGAAGCAGAATCTCACTGGTGAAGATGTCTCCCATTCCTTCCTTGAAGCTCTCAGAATAAAGCAGCTGGCATTGCTCACCAGGAAATGCAGTAATCTGAATTACATGGTATACCACTTTATGTTGGGTTGTACATTCCTAAACCTAGGTGCATGTTGGTAATGTCAGGCTGACTTTAGTTTTCCTCTTGGTTCATGCAGAGTTCTCAGTCATCAGTTTCTTTTGGACATGGTTGTGATGAGACATACTGTCCTGTGTAGTGTTGTCATAGTCAATGAAACAGCTCTGGTTTGTGCAAAGCTTTTCAAACAATTCTGGTGATGAAGTGGAAAACACTGAGGATGTAAAAGGTGCTGCAGATGACAAAGACTGGAAAGAAGAGAAAGAAAGTTCAAAGAAGGCATCTGTCTAGATGTGATCTCTTAAAGACAGTTTAAGAGACTCTGAGTAAACCTTTACACTTGTGGTCTGTTTCTGACAGGACTATAAAGTATCTAGGCCTGACAAAGTATGCTGTTTACTTCTGCTGCCTGGAATGATCCTGTAAGATCAGCACAGCTGACATCCTATCTACTGTATTATAGCTATAGGCTTTGTAAGCCCTTTAATCCCTCTCATCTGCGTGCTCAGTTACAACAGCGACTTTAGGGCTGGGTTCATCTAGTGACTCATCTTATGTTTCACAAATGCATTAAGATGGCCCAGTTTAGCACATACAATATTTACCTTTGTATAATTAAAGTGGCAGCTAATATTATCTTCAGCCTGACTCCTTGCTTTATCTAAATCTGTTTTGGTCATTGGCAGTTCCATCCACTCCAGTGGGTGCAAGAACTGTGCAGGACTTATCCCAGCCATGGCATTGGCAAGGTCTTGAACTTGTGGTGCTACGTATGAGTTGCATGCCAGTGGAGTGAACTGCAGTGTGTGTGTGTGTGTGTGTGTGTGTGTGTGTGTGTGTGTGTGTGTGTGTGTGTGAAGGATGGCTGAAATGTCAACCTTGCTAGTACTTTGGTATGATAGGGCTGGAAGTCCTGGCATGGGAACATAACACACAGTGTCACTCTGGCTATCAGGTTACTACCATAACAACCCATGCAGCTCCACTGAGAATATTTAAAATGTTTTTCAATTAACACTATCATCATAAATTATGCTTAGTTTGTGTATAGCTACTGATAGAACCGGCAAATGTCTTTGGTTTTTTGGGAAAAAAAAGACATTTTACTGCCTTAAACAGAAAGCATGACACATCAAGAAGATGAGGACAGACTCTGGAGAGTTGAAGCTGAGATTGGAAGAGGATTCTGACACCTGCGTCTCACTTAGAAACTAAGTTAGAGTCAAGCAGTGTAAAAAGTGACATACTGTTTATGTACAACAGCTGCTGCATGCACTGTCAATATTCGTTTTAAAAATTTAGCAGTGAAAAGCCACACTGAGGCAAGATGCGGGGGACAATAGGTCTCCATGATATTCATCTTACAGTGTTGTCTTTCTCTGCTACAGTAAAGTCACAGCAGTGTAACTAAGCAATGTGAGAGGTTTGCTTCATGGTAGGTTATCTGTTTCAGTTGTCCAATAGTGTGCATGCAGTGAGGATAAACAACTTCTTCCTGGCAAAGTTGAAAAAGGCCTTATGCAGTAGTGACTCAGACTGGAATGAACCAGCTGCTAAGAAAAAAGAACATCACTCCCCCTCTGCCTCTGTTCAGGCTATCTGGAGCTCGATCTCTGTTCCTTTCTTTGTAAAAACAAAGCAAGTCTGCAAGACAGATGGAGAGCTGCTGCAGTGCTGCTGCTGCTGCTGTGTCAGCAAATAGGAATGATAAAAAAAACATTCATGACTAGTGACTAGTGTTCCTTGTCAACTTTCATGCAGGGTTTAACAACTAAATACTTGAAACACAAATCTTTTCAGTCGTTCCTGAATTTAAGAAGCCCCTCTCTGCTTAAAAATGTATTTTTCTTATTGTTACTCACTTGGATGTTTGACCTTCACTGTGCACAATGATTGACACTAGAAGACTGTTTTCACATTTATCAGCTGAAGGGAGAACGTTTCTCTGAGTGTAAGAAGTGCATCCTTTCTTCATAAAACTTTAGGACTTGTGGTATGTGGGTTGTTCCTTTGTTTCAAGGAAGGTGTAGGCTCACACTGATGCTGCGCCCTGTCTAGAGATGTATGTGTGTGTGCGTGCGTGTGTGTGTGTGTGTGTGTGCCTGGTACCAGCAAACTACTGAGAACCCCTGGGTCACAGTGGCTTCTGGGTCATGGGATTAGCTGGCAAGGGGAAACAGCTGCGGCCTGTGAATTATCAGCATTTGCTAATCAACACACATACCGAACGCATACACACATACTGTACATGAATGCTGGCCAAATCTATGCTCTCCCTGCTCTACTTTTTTAGTCTGCAGGGGTCAGACAACCACAAAGCCTTGGGCCTGCAAAAGTCAAAGGGGCCAGGGGGACATGGGGAATTGCTTGGTCAAGTCTGATGGGGCTGCTGAGTCGTCACTGATACTGACTTAAACTGATAATTTGCAAAAAATGCTCAGTAGAGCTGATGAGCTGTCTTCTTGTGTTTAAGATAGAGTTTTAAGTAAAGGTTTGTGTAAAGTACCCAGTTGGAGCCTTTAGGGCTTTACTATCATGCAAATTTCTGCCAGCAAGCCCCTGTGCAGCTCTGTGCCACCTCTAGGGGCACTGTTGTACTAATTTTAGAGAATGAAACGTGTCCACTAGTGTGGTAACCTGTGCGCTTCTAATCTGAAGAGGTCATGATTGCTTGGCCATAGAAAACCATTTGGACCAGGGTAAAGTAATGGGTAATGATTAAGCATCTGTAGCTTTATTTTAACACTGTTTGTTTTTCAGTTGAAGGAACATTTAGTTGTAATTCTGTCAAAGGTTGACCAGCTGCATATGATGATTCTCAGACAAAGTACAAACAAATTTAAGCACATTATTGGATAAATGTATGTATGCATATGGTTCATGTGTGTTCGGTCTTGCAAATAAATAAGTAAAAATCACAACACAGTCCACTGTCATTTAGAACAAAATGTTTATTCAAATCAAAAGAAAGAACAAGACCAAAGATTCAATCATTCAGAACATAGTATATTCATAGAATATCTATACATCATGATGATTAATAGAAAAAAGGTAAAAACAAATATACAAGTGGAGAATGGAGAAAATTCAGTGAGTAATATTGCACTTTGTTTCTAAAATGTTTCAGATCCCGTGTCCCAGGTTCTTATTCTCTGAACATTTCAGTTCCTGCCTTTACTGGTACAGGAGTTTAGCTTAGTTGTGACACTGGACTACTCTGATGCCCAAGCAAATGGACTATGGAATTGACTGATCTGAAACAAACATGAGCTTATTCTTTACCGTGTAGCTTGATTAATTTTCCCTAGGATAAAATCCAAACAAAGAACTGCAAACAGTCTACTGTGGAAAAAAGCAGTTTGTCTGCTATCATATGTTAAGTGTTTTTCGAAGGGGAAAGGGTGCTGGTCCACAGCTGCCACCCCCAGGCCTGAGGGGGATCAGAGAGTTCAGGGAGACTAAGGAAGGTTGCTTGTTAAACGAGAAAGCAAACTATAACAATGCCCAGAAATACATGGAAAACAATAGTAGTCAACCCTTATTAGCTTCAGAAACTAAAACATTCAAGAGGCCTGTCCAGGATGTCATTTCCTAAAACATTTGCTTCTAAAGGACTTTCTCCAGCCTCTCTTCCCTTTTTGTCCTTTTGAATAAACATGGAAACATTTAAAACATACAGGTATTTGTATATAACACAAGGACAACAAAGGTTTATGTAGACACTAAAGATGACAAGTCATGATCAGGTCTTGTCTGTGCCAAGGCCACTAAGATAGGATCACTTTAATAAATCTGCAGATTACTCTCAGAAGCTGGCTATTTAGTTTCCAGTTGGGTCTTGGTAAGTGTGCACACACACACACACACACACACACACACACACACACACACACACACAAACATGCATCGGCTCAAAATCAAATAAAACAATTAAAAAAAAAAAAAAGATACTAATCTTAAAACCATTCAATAATGCATTAATGTTCTACACAACACCGCTAAACTGAAAAATCTTTTAGTATGACCTGGTTAGTACCAAATGTTTTTCTTTAGACCTTCACCATTGAATGCTTTTTTTTGTAAAATTTTATTTTTAAAAAAGTGCTGCTTATTCATTCCTGACTATGTCAAACCTCTGTTGCAGCTGGTCGTTTGTGTCGAATGAGTTTGAAAACCAATGTATTACTCATGTCAACCTACTACTACTTGTTCTGACCAGTCTGAACAGGAGTTTAGCAATGTCCCAGCTTTTCATTTGTACTGGGTTTGCTTCTTTACCGTAGAAGCAGTGCCGTGCCGTGCCGTGCCATCCCCCCCTTTTTTTTTTTTTATGTTACTATTCGTGTTTAACCGGTC